CAAGGGCTGATTCGGCATGTTCCGCGCAACTGGCAACCTGGATAGGGCATGCGCAGACCTGCCTGTCTGCTGATTTGGCGCATTCCGAGCAACTGGCTCCCTCAGTAGGGCGTGAGCAGACCTGCCTGTCTCTGCTTGACCGTTTAGCAACACCTCTCTCAAGAAGAAGAACCATCCATCTAACTGTGGTTTATTAAGTCCTTGACTTAAATCATGTTGAAATATTGGGCAACATTTTCCATCTGTACTTGAAATTGGTGACTCTCCATTGGTATAAAGAGAGCTTACCAGGAGCTAGTTAGAAATAATGAAACTGTAGAACAACCAAAGCTTGAGTCACCCGGAGATGTTTGTACTGCTTGCTTTAAGGAGATAAAAAGAGGGCCGGGGATTTAGCTCAGTGGTTCTGTCGCCTGTCTCATAAGCAAGCACAAGATCCCAAGTTCAATCCCCAGTACCAAAAAAAAGAAGATAAAAAGAAATTCACAAAGAAGTCCCTAGGGCTGTTCTCATGCCCTATTAGTTTTTTTTTTCCCCCCGTTCTGTTTGGTTTTTGAGGCAGGGTCTCACTGTGTAGTCCAGGCTGGCCTTGAACTCACTGTGTAGCCCATGCTGGCCTCGAATTCATGCTGATCCTCCTGCTTCAGCCTCTCAAGTGCTGAATTATAGGCCTGCACCACCAATGCCTGGCTACCATTCACCATTTTTGAGGACACCTACTTACTTTGTCCATGGATGCCCATCATGATAACAACTATGGATCTCAGGGTGAATTCAGCATCAAAGTCCTTAATTCTTTCTGTTTGGTTTAAGATCAGGAGGCCATGGGCTGGGGATTTAGCTCAATGGTTCTGCTGCCTACCTCACAACCGCAAGGACCCAAGATCGATCCCTGGTACCTGGAAAAAAAAAAAAAAGAACAGGAAGCCAGAGCAAAAAAGTCTTCTATAGATAGTCTTCTCCTATCTCCAACCCTCAAGCATAGATGCCTTTGTAGTTCTCCACTCCTGCTGTACCTGTGATCTTTGCTCTACAGGTATCCTTGGTTGTCCCTGCTTGCCCCACCACCATACTGGGCTCACCTCTTATCTTCACACCCAAGGGAGGCAGTTACTGTCACTTGTCTTCTCCCTCTGACACCTGACACCGCCCCCCATGCCTGCCACACCTGAGGCACAGCATATTCAGGTCTCTACACTCTTGACTTCCACAAAGCCAGTCTCCATATCCTAGATGCCTGCAATCCCTGGCCTATCTCCTGTTCTCCTGCAGAAGAGGCAGTTCTTGGCCAACTAAGTCTGCAACTCCGGTCTCGTACAGCTCTGCCTCTTTGATGTCGGTATTGACACCCCCACACATATGTACCTCTCTCCTCATGTGTCTCTGTACTCATGATGCCTTTCACAGGCCAGACAGAGGTCATCTCATCAGAATCCACACCTAAGCGCCAGCATGGGTGTGAATGTCCAACACACATAACCTAGCGTGGGCCTCCTAGCCAATTTCCAGGCATGTGGACCACAATGTTGACTTATGCCTTGTCCCTTCAGTTCATCTCCACTTTGCAATAGTCTTCAAATGTCAACATTACATATCAATATATATTTCCCTCACAAGCCCCCACATGGAAGGCTTGAGCTGGACCCTCTCCATACCCTGTTAGTTTAATGGCTTCCCATTTGCCTTTTGCTTTGATACCTCCCCTCTCCAATCTCTGTAGCCTACAGCTTACCACTCAACCAAAAATTCCAGAACCCATTAGATTGCATAAACCAGTGAGATCAGAGTTCCCATTATGAATAGTACAGAGAGAAAAGTTTTCCCCTTTCTGTTTTCTCTCCTCATTTTTGTCCCCACTACCAGCACCACCAAGAGTTCAAGCTGCCTTCAAATGAAAAGCAAGACACTTTCAGTCTTCTTGGTCCTCAGTTTATTCTTGCTTCTTAGTTTATTCTATTCTTCCTCAGGTCATATGAGTGAATTAAATGAAATGAGCTGTGTTATTTCATATCTTGTCTATAACTGAGGATGATATATGTACTTTTCTGGCCTTAGCACTACATTTCTTTCTGTCAGACGTAAATCTCCATGAAATCTCAAGGTAGGGTTCTGCTCAATGTATGTGAGGGGATCTCTAATATATCCAGCTACCCAAAAACTGAAATGGCATCTCCCCACATTGCTTTCCAGAAAAATCCCCACCTATTTAGCTGCTATTCTGTCCAATGGATTAAATCTAAGTTACTTCATTTTCTTAGTCACTTTCATCCCCTTGCCCTTGCTCACTGCATTCCTCACTACAAAAAATTCTTCCAGCTTCCAAAATTTGCTTATTCCTCTTATTCTGTAAACTCTTATTCATTTTATTCCTTGTTTTCTAGGACTTTATAATTGGAGCATATCTTTTTCTTTTTGACAAAAATTGTGTATATATATATATATATATATATATATATGATGTACAACTTGGTGTTTTGAAACAAAAACATAAGTGTCTCTTCATATGTTATATTTGTTTACAAAGCTGGAAAGGAACTTATTTCCTTATTGTGAACTTCAAGGGTATCCCTCATAATTGCAAATGTCCTTGTACATACTTGAAAAGGAGGTTGAGGCCAGCTGTTGGAAATTCCTTGGGCCTTCCTTTGTGGACCAGGTGTAGATGTTTGTATTCACCGAGGGTTCTCAGCTTCTTTTCTCTTCTCAGACTCATCCCACACAGACCGCCTTTCTTTCCAGTGTTGACCTACACACTCACTGCTCCTACCAGATGATGTTGCCAGAGTCAATAGCCATTGTCTGCTCCCCCAAGTTCCAGGAGTGAGTACCCGGGATGTAGTTTTGGCGGTTACAAGGAGGTAGTAGGGAAGAAAGCCTCAGAGCAAAAGGTCTCTGTTCTTGAGATCATGCTTCTTTATAAACTACATAGGTTATACTGTTAATTGGCCGTTCTAGAAGGCTTCCTTTAGGCAACATATTCTAAAATATCTAACTTGCTTATTTTAAAAGATACCCAAGTAGCAACTTTGTTGCTTTTCAAAAAAAAAGTTCACAAGAAATTTGAAGTGATCAAGAGTTTGATGTTGGCTTAAAGAATTTCAAATCAAACAAATTATCTCAGAGTTTTCAATTCTTTTTCATTCCAATTCCTGTTTATTTACTGCAAATTCTTAGCAACACTTATGTGGTAGCAGTAATGAATCATCTTTTAACTGTGACTTGTTCACCACTAAGCCTGTAAAGCCAGCATCCTGTGGAAGTTGTCTCATAAAGAGCTCTCCCCTGCTGTGTATATGTGTTCATGTGCAGTTGTATGTGTGTGTGTATGTGTGTATGCATGCATGTGATAGGGATGCGGGACACCATTGCTCAACTCTGAGCCTGCCTTTTCTTATTTCAGAACTGGATTCTTTAAATTAACTGATCATGGACTAGAGGAGATTTCTTCCTGTCGCCAGAAAGGATTTCATCCACACAGCAAAGATCCACCTCTGTTCTGTGTATGTATCTATGGAGGAGAAATTTGGGCTGTATTTTTTTTGTTGTTGTTACTGGGGATGAAACTCAGAACCTTGCGCTTGTGAGGCAGGCGGCGGAACCACTGAGCTAAATCCCTGGCCCATTGGGCTGCATTTTAAGCCAAGGAAACAGTCATCCAATGAGGTGCATCATCTTTTCTGACCCACATTGAAAATCAGCCTGTCACTTACCTTTCCAGGTCTCTATAATAAAGATGTATGTACATGGAAAGTAGTGTGGGATAAAAATAGATTTGAGTCATGGCTCTGCCACTTAATGGTGATAGATAGAGAGATAGATATATAGATATCTGTCTACCTTTGAGGCTACTTACCCTTCTAGTGCCTCATCTTTCTCATCTGTAAATAATTCATTCTTTATACAGTAGTGAAGAGAATTACTCGCTTGAACCACCAGTGGTACATGCATGACTTCCCCATTAGGCAGCTTGAACCATCTGTGGTACAAGCATGAGTGTCCCATTGGGCGACATGGGACAGTCTCATTGAGTGGTATAAGCTTCCCAGTGGGCTAGTCGTGCATATATGGCCCCACTGTGAATATGTTAAATGAAGGTGCAGCTCAGCAGTAGAATGTATACTTACCATGTGTGAGGCCCTGGGCTCAGTCCCTGGTACGGCCCCTCACCCCCAGTAATATGTATAAAGTACCTAAGGTGGTAACTGGCTTATTAAATGTTAGTTCTGTTCTTCATCAATGGCCATTGGTAAGCTTGTACTTCATTAAGAGATCTGAATTTACAGGGGAAAAGCCACGTAAGTGAAAAGTAAATAGATTTGATTCTGGAACTTTGCTTAGATAATGAGGATTTTAGGACCCTTCTAGGAAGTTGTTTTCGTCCCCTAAATTCTATTCTGTGAATAACAAGTTTAGTGGATAAGAACACTATGTTTCAATTTACCCCAAGATCAAATGTGATAGTTTTGCTTTTCTCCACATTGCCCTGGATTATTGCTACTTCTTTTTGGTTTCAGAGAAAAGTGACCAATATGAAAAAGAGACTCAGAACCCTGTCATGAAAAAAGAACTGGGTCACAAGTTCAAGCCCAGCCTGGGCAGCTTAGCAACTTAGTGAGAACCTGTCTAAAAGAAAGAAAAAAGATGGGCTGGGGATTTAGCTTTGTGGTTTTGCCGCCTGCCTTGCAAGCGCAAGGACCCGAGTTCGATCCCCAGTACCAAAAAAAAGGAAAAAAGAAAACACACACACATACACACACAAGAAAAAGAAAAGAAAAAAGATAGCTCAGTGTGATGGCCCTAGGTTCAATCCCCGGTACTAAATATATTTAAAAAAAAAACAAAAAAGGAAAAAATGAAAAAACCCCAGAAAGGATCTAAGGGCTAACTTCAAGTAGTAGAGAGCTGATGTATAAAAAATATATTGGGGGGGTTGGGGATTTAGCTCAGTGGTTTCACCACCTGCTGCGAAGCAGAAGGACCCGAGTTCGATCCCTGGCACCGAAAAAAAACCAAAAAACTGTATTGGGTATACTTCATACCACTCCCAGCACTAAAACTAAGGCCTCAGGGAATGATAGCTTTCAGTTGAATAAAAGGAAGAACTTTCTAACAGATCTGTTCAAAATTTATAATGAATATGTAGGTACAAGGATGTTGAAATAGAGACTACACACTCAGAAAAAAAGTCTGAGACACCAATGCACAGGTTTTCAGTTACAAAGACCCCTTTTGTATGCCCAAAGTGAGCATTTTTCTATGTGATGTTAAGTGTACTTTATTATTATAATTAAAATAATGACCCAAAAAACTACAATGACTCTACTAATTCTTGTAAATAAATGTATATTTTGCAAACAACTCTAGAATATATGTACATTTGAAAAATAAAGATTTGTGGGCAGACATTGGTTCAATCTAGAAATAGGACTTGATGGAAGCAGTGATTCCCAGACCCTTTATCATCACTGCCACTTAAGGTGCAGTCTGGCTTCCAGATCCTCTAATGAGTATTTTAAATGAGGAGTCTTTAAAAAATGACTTTTCAGAATTTTCCAGGTCTTCACTTTTCATTTTCTCTGTTGCAGAGCTGTAACCATGTGACTGTTGTGGACAGAGCAGTGATCATCACAGATCTTCGATGAGAATTTGACTCACACACCTGAAAACTAAAAAATCATGTCAGTGTACTGTAGCCCCTTAATATGAGCTTTCCGGAAAGCTTTCAGAGCTTTTTAAGACAGAACAGGAAAGGGGCATCACCTGGGGAAGAACTGATTTTTCTGTATCTGGTTTGAAATGAAAGAATTGGATATATTTTTTAGGAAAATCTTGAAATAAGCATGATAATACTAAAGCAATTAACTCCAAAATTAAATTTTTAAAAGGGTATAATGAACACTCACATACCCTTCTTTCTAGATTCACAAATTGTTAACCTTTCATTGCTCTCAGCTATCTTCTAATTTATCTGCCAACTTGTTATTATCTACCTTTTGACTAAATGAGGGCATCTATACAGAAATTTGGAAAATTAGAAACTCTTTGGGATTTTCCTTTGGTTTAGGCAATATTAATGGCATTGATTACAAGGGTGAGGGGCAGCTCACTATGTCTGAGCAGATGGTGAGGCTCAGAAACCCTGAAGAATGATGTTATCAGGAATTATGTTATTTAACAAATACTTCAGGATATTTTTGCTCTGTAATAAAGTAACACTTAACTTATTTTATTAGGCTCTAGAGTGATCCATTTGATCAAGCCTCATATAAACAAGTTGAATGAAAGATCTGGTTGTTCTGGGAAAGATGAAGGGAAAAGGAATTTGAGATGTGCCAACATTGAGGTGTGTCCCACTTCACTTTTAATTGTTCATTGTTTTTGCTCTGCTGCTGTCTTCCACGGGCATGAAGTCCTGTCTTGTCTTCTGGTGCTGTCTCAAGTGGGTTACCCCTTTGCTTCCGCCTATGCCCCACAAGCTTTCAGTTGAGGGTAGTAGAGCCTTTATCTGGAGCACCAGATTACACTCCAACTAAATGGTAACATCCCCTAGCCACCTCACCTCACAAATTCCGTTGTGGTGCCTATTCTTTTCTGACTTGGGCAACACTTAGGAATGTGTGTGAAGCTATAGTTGATTCTATTTCTTTTTTTCTGTGAGCTGAGCCTAGTGTTCTAAGATAGCCTAGAAATAATGTTGACACTGTGACACCTCATGTGTAACGTAAGGGTACTACAGTAAATATCTTGAGTAAAAAATGATTTATTTCTATATCAGAATGGTGGGGGGGGGTGAATATATGAAATTTTGCTTCATCTTAAAGTTTTGTGTCCTTAATGTGTCTATGTGTCTAGTCTGTCTGTCTGTCTTTCTTTCTTTCTTTCTTTTGGTACCAGGAATTGAACTCAGGACCTTGCGCTTGCAATAGTCTTTATTTCTTAAGTTACTGGTCATTAAACTTTTTGCCTGGAAGAATCAAATCTTTATATTCTTCTTCTTCATTTCAATTCTTAACTCCCAAGATATCAGGAATTCTTTCTTCTGAAGTTTTTGGTGTAGGTTGGAATGGGGCCCCAACTGGGCTTGACTCCCTGGCTGTGACCCAGAGTTAGCTTGGCTATTCCTTTTTGTCCCGAGCAGTCCAGAAATTGCCCAGTCCTGTGCTTTCTAGGAATTCTATCCCTTTCTTCAGGCACTTCTCCAGGAACTACTTAGTTTGGGGTTATATTACCTTTTGCTTGGACCATTGCAGTAGGCTTTTATTAGGTCTCTTTGTGTTCAGTGTTTGTTCTAGTACGTGCTACACATTACAGTCATCCTCACATTTCCTCTCTTGCTCAGAAACCTACAGTGATTTCTATCTGCTAAAATCTAAATTTAGCCTTTATTCAGAACTTTCCTCTTAGGGGCCACATAAGTTTCTTACCCATGTCTATACTTTTAAATATCTAGGGAACTTTCAAAGAGATACTGGTGCCCATACCCCTCTCCATAGCAGTTAAATCTGAATCTCTGAGGTGGCTGCTAGACATTGTTTTTGTTCTGTCTCCTTTTTCTGTCTTTCAAGCTGCTAGGATTCTCAAGTGGAGCCAGAGTTGAAAACCAAAACAGTAGTCATTTACACCTAGGAATTAGGGGCTCTTTTCAATCTCTGCACATTACTGACATTCAGTGAATGTTTTTTGAGCCCAAGTGAACTGAAGGTATTGTAAGCATATCTGTTACTAACTGATCACCAAACTGCCATATTTTCTTGCCTCTGACCTTGTGCACAAGATATCTTAGTGGCTGAAGGGTGCAGTAAACCAGTCTACAGATGTCCCCTTTGCACCTGCTACCATCTAGCCACCCAGAGCACAGGATTCAGTGTCTCTCTCTTCTCTCTATCCTGGTGGGAGAGTCATGGTATAAAACCAGTCCATAAGGAAGCAGGGAGACCAGGTAGGCAAGTGGGAAAGAGAAGGAGTTAGAGTTGTAGGGAAAGAGGAAAGCAATATTGTAAATAAAAGGGACTCAAACCATGAAACCTGAGGACAAGCCTATATTGAAAGCGTAATGACTACTCAGCTACAGAGACTTATATCTGGGCTCCAGAGCCTCAGAGGCCAGGATGCTTTTCTGCTCTCAAGCTGCACAAGTACCATGTTTAATGGTCTAGGCTGAGAGGGGAGGTGGAAGCAATGTCTACTTGCATTGCAGTTGATCTCCAAAGCATAGATGACCCTCCAAGCATGCCACAAGCTAGTGCAGAGAGGCTCTGAGTGCTGCTTTGCTGGGAGAAAGGGGAGGGCTGGACCTTCCAGGTGATCGTGTGCACAAACTCCTAGTTAAGTGGAACTAAAGAGGAAGAAGAATCCTGAAGCCTTTACAATGTTCTCAAGGGTACTCAATTGTCTTGGTTACTTTTCTCATTGCTGAGACAAAATACCTGACACACAAAATTAAAGAAATGAAGGTTTTTTGTATCTCATGGTTTGTAGAGGTTTCAGTTCATAGTTGGCTGGCTCCAAGGCAAGCTGGCTTTGCAGAGGGACATTGCAGGGGAGAAACAGTTCATGGCAGGCAGAAGGCAGTAAAGCAGCAAAGAAGCAGCGAGCATAGCAGGGCCCACCCCGCTTGATGTTGATGTATTTTGGGTTTCATTTTCCCAATGGGAGATATTTTTCAGGTGAGGTTTGAGAGGAATAGAGACTGCCAAGGGCAGAGCTTTAATGAGTAAAAGTCCAATGAATCGTGCAACTAGTCTGTTTCAAATGATTTTTTTTTTTTTGAGACAAGATCTTGCTATGTAGTTCAGGCTGGCCTTGAACCCCCTATGTAGTTCAGGCTGGCCTCAAACTCATGGCAATCCTCATGCCTCAGCCTCCCAAGTGCTGGAATTAGAAGTGTGTACCACCACGCCCCGTGGTCTCAAATGAATCTTTGAGAACACAGTTTTAGGTCCAGATGTTGTTCTCTAGAAAATAGTCCAAGTTCAATCTTGGTATTGTGCCTCTATCCTCTTATATCTCAGTGTTTTAACCCCACCTGTGTGTAGAGACCATTTTGTCCAAAGATCTTTGAAGCATGTGAGCCCAGAGTAGAGCTTTTGGGTGGAGCCTTATTTCTTTCTGTGTGGAGCTTTGCTTGGGACACTGAGAGGGCCTGTTTGGATCAGGACCATTAGAACATTATCCTCTGGAGAGAAAATGGTACTTTGAATATTTAAGGCTATTCTTCTAGGCTCAGCTGTTCATTCCTCAACTGAATCCTGCAACTTGCCAAACAAAAGTCTATAAAATAAAGTTGGTCTAATATGCCAACCTCAAATGAGGACAAAATGGCATCTGCCTGCAAATAAGGCCTATGAGAGTTGAAAGATGTTATAAAGACTTAGGGATTTGGTTTTTTTCTCACTCCCCTCCCTTTCTCCTTCCCTCTCTCCTTTCCTCCTTTCTCCCCTCTGCCCTTTACCTTTCCCTCTCTCCCATACTGAGATTGAACATAGGACCTGTGCTCTGAGCTACAGCTCCAGACACGCACCCCCCTTTTGAGACAGGTTCTTGCTAAGTTACTAAGTTGTCCAGGCTTGGTTCGAATTTGCAGTCCTCCTGCCTCAGCCTCCCAGAGTGCTGGGATTACTGGCATGCATCACCCCAAAAAAGCTGGTTTTTATATCTCTTGAAACTCCTACTGGGCTTCTGTCCCTGGAGCTTCCAACTAAATGACTCTTCAGGCACATTCATGTTCTGTATCACTAGCAGGGCTTTCAACACCAAATCTCTGGCCTGCCCTTATGTTCTGAGCTGGAAGATTAAGGCCCTTAGGAACCATAAGAATCATTTCAAGCTTCTACTCATTTCCCTAAGGTCCAGAGTAGAGCCAGAACCTAAAGAGATTATACATCTCTTTTTCCCTTGGCTCTGCCCCACTCTTGCTTGAGCCTCCCACTTTAGTTGTTTTCAATTATTTCTTGAGATCAAGGAAGAAGAATATAACATAACCTTCTTCACTCCAGCTTACTCCTATAACTAAGGTCCAAATTTTAGTTAGTCTTCAATTACCTGAGGTTAGAAATGGGCCTTAAACTTACAGAGTATGTCTGGCATTAGTCTCTGAGCCTGTTAGATTCACAATCCAGTCTTGTGGCCCTGCCTGACCCTAGGCCAGTGGTGGCAAACCTATGGCATCACTGAAAGCTCTAAAAGGTTCACCATCACTGCCCTAGGCTTTTGTATCCTTCAGTGATCAAACATGCTTCCCTGAATGCTAGGTTCAAGTTCTACTTCTAGTGATTCCTTTTAGTGGTAAATTCACTAAGGGGGCTTCCTTGAAGTCCAATGGCATTGATAGCCTATTTCCCACAATTTGGTGTATGTTTTTTTTTACTGTTTCATAATGTGTTCTTATTGTCTTTTTAAGTGAGTCATGTCTCTGAATTCTCAAGTAAATTCTCTTAGGGAAGTGACCATGTTTGCTTTATTCACTGTGTTAAATGCCTTTCACTCAGTTTAACACTTCCTTATTGCTTAGCTGTTCCTTGAAATAGTGTTCTTAGTAGGCCAGGGATTTAGCTCAGTGGTTTCACCACCTGCTGCACAAGTGCAAGGACTCAAGTTCGATCCCCGGTAGCAAAACAAAAACAACAAAACAGAAATAGTGTTCTTAGTGTTGAATCATGTTAGGAAGCAAGCTAGACCCATGCCTGAATCCTGAGAAACTCTACCCCCCACCTTATGAGAAGCCATCTTGGTTTCTTGAAGCAGCATCATGTCTTGGGCCTGTACTACAGTTAAGCTCTTCCTATAACTGCCAGCATAAATAGTTATCTGCCCAACAGGCTTAGTTAAGGGATAGTCAGAGGAAGATGTACAAAGAAGGGAAAAGGGGGGAGGGCAGAGAGGTATGAGGAAATGAGAGAGTGGCATTACTATCTTGTTAGAGAAACTAAGGAAGGCAGTTGTTTAAAGAGAGACATCAGGGTCCTGAGGGTGTAGCTCAGTGGTAGAGCACTTGGCTAGCACATGTGAGTCCTTAAATTCAATCCCCAGTACCACAAACGAGCAACAAACAAAAAACCAAAATGAACATCAGCTGCCAAATGGCTCAGAAGAGGCTTTCTGGGATTTGACAGTTAGCAGAGGCCTTCCCAGACAACTCCACTGAAAGTACTTCTACCCCACACCATCTACATCTACTTCTTTACTGTCTGTGTAGCACTGTCAGTAGCCAAAATTGGTCCTGTTTG